GCCGACATGCTTTATGAGGTATTTCTGTGGAAATAGCCAGCCTGTCAGCCACTACAAGAAAGCATAAACAACCTGTTGTATTTTTTAACTGTTGTATCCTTTAAAAAGACCCAGGGGGAATTTTTAAAATACTGCCGCTGAGCTAAATTACTTGGAGCCCTTTGGGGACCCTTTGTAAGAACCATATACATTCATTTTGTGTAAAGTATCCAACAGAGTACCTGGTTAAAAGGGATTTTAGGATAGAGATGGGACAATATAATCCATACAGGCGTCGATTAAGTGCAGATAAGTGTCAGCTATGTTATAGGCCCCACCAAAAAACAGATCACACTAGTATTTCAGTCATAGTATGCTTAGTACACTTCTACTATAGCTCTAGCCAGCTTTCTAGGCATTTAACGGGTACAAAAACACTAAAATTGTATCTGCAGCTATTAGTACTTCCTATTTTTATACCTTTTTCAAGACCTTTTTTATTTTATAAGACAATCTAAGCTACAAAATCAACTGTGTTCATGCAAATGCGTTAAATTAAAACATGATTCCACTGCATGAACACGTAAATACTGTGCCCAACACAGTATGAATTTTTATTTTACTGAAAGATACAAATTCATACTCTGTTGGGCACATTTAACATATTTAATATTTCTAAAAGTTAAAAAGTTTGTGGTCAGTGGTCAATAATACTTTTTAAAAATGTTCGTTAAATTGATCATAAATTACAGTAAAGACTTTTATATAACGTTATAAACATTTTTTTATTTTAAATAAATATTGTATTCAAAGAATCCCAAAAAAGTCTTAAGTATATAGTTTCTCCAAAAAATATTAGGAAGAATAATCATGTTCAACTGTGATAAATGTTTCTTGAGCAGTATATTACAATTAAAAAATATTATAAATTCAGCTTTGCCACCACAGGAATAAACTACATTTTAAAATATATTAAAATAATAACAATAATAAAAACAGTTCTTTTAAATTGTAATGCTATATCACAATATTACTGTTTTATTGTATTTTTGATCAAATAAATACAGCCTTGGTGAGCATATAAGACTTCTTAAAACAAATTAAAATAAATAAATTACAGACCCTTTTGAATGTTAGTGTATTTTATTTGACAGTTCAATAATAGTAATATATATGTAAGTATATATATTTTACCTCATTGCTGAGGAAGATAATGTAGCGATCTAACATCTATGCTATTTTATTAATAAAAGTCGCAGGGCAGCACCGACAATAAGTTTCTGTGTGTGCGCAGTGCGATCTACAATCTCCGACCTCTCTCCCTCTCACTGTGTTTATGTGCGAGTGGTGTGTGTGCGCATCAATTAAAGCTGCACATTAATATAGAACGGTGATTAAACTGACTTGGAACTACCTGTGCATTAAACTGTTTTAATGCATACCTGCCAGCCAATCAGAATCGAGTATTCAGACAGACCATGGAATAAATATATAAAACATTTTTTAAATATATTTTCATTTCAATTAATTTTGCCACTAGGGGAAAGCAACAACAACAAAATCCTAACACCTTGACAAATATAGTTTAATACTTTTAATAGCCTCTGGATATCCTGTATAAGATCAAGGATATTTATTCTATTTTGATGGGATAATAAGCATGTCAATGTGAAATTCTAAGGAAAGGTTTCAGGTTTCCACATATCCCAGTTCTGGTTTATTATACGTCTATCCAAATTTGCCTGATTGAGAGCCACCACAAAAATGATCACGGACAAAAGATCCACGTCATTTCAAAGACTACTGAAGAAACCCAGCATACTTAAAATAAAAACCACATTGTGAAACTGAATTACACAAGAATTAACATGTGGCTGAATTACACAAGAATTAACGTATCACAACAGTATACTAACATTTAATTGCAGCGTAAGAATAACAGTTTGTGATACGTTATTAATGTAACCCACACTGAGCTTATATTTAAATTTTACAGCAACTAGTCAGCAGGCTGTCTGCATCATCTGAAACACCTTTATACTATTATTCCAGTAAAATAGAATAAATATCTTTAAGTGATTTTGAGCTATTAAATGTGCATTCAGAAACTAGATTCTTTACATAGTCTTGTAAAATACTGTGGTTGGACAAATTCATTGTCTCCAGTGAAAGCATGTCAAGTGTGTGCAAGTCTTTTCAGGCGACACTACAATGTGCAATGACTCTTGCCAAGTTAATGTGGCACAAACCAGAGGAAATGAGGTCAATTAGATGTCCGACCTCACCAGGCTTCCCACACCTACACGTAAAGCACTTAAGCAGCACTACAAAGACCTCTACTGGATTACAAGAGCAAATGTTAGTGTCTGCGGACATCCAACCCATCGTCTCTGACATCTGACATGGGCCACGTCCTCGGTATTGGCACGCTCTAATCTCGCTCCGCTCCAGGGAGAACGTGGAGTAACTGCAACGCCATTATCTAATGACGGGGCTGAGATGCCGCGCTCACATGCTGTATATTTAGAACAGGCCCCAGGGTGCTCTTTAGGAGGTTAACATCCACTGACCCTGACACAACCTTCTCTCTGGCACCCTGCCCGACCCATTAGACTTGGCTTTGCTTCTTAAAAGCATTGTTAGAAAGAGCCAGACGTCAAGCAAGCATACCTGGATGAGTCGTGGAGGGACACAAATCCATATTTCCATTATAGAGAGCCTGTAAACTGCACAGACAGAAGACAAAGCATTACTTAACATCAGTGTGCTGTGGCGCCAAAAAAAAAGCATGTTTTAAAATGGTGGGCATGATGAACTATTTATGACATGATGGCTTCTCTCATGAATATTAATTAGGAGGTCATGCTGACATAAACTTTGTGGGTTGCCCAAACACATATGCTAATTAATATTCTTTGATAAGTCTTTGTCATAGTAGGATCTGTATACTTCCTGTCTGGTGAAGATATGCAGAGTTGTTTGGCCTCACTGATGCTGATGACTTGGTACAGAAATGAAATATCAGACAAGCTTTACGATCAAATATTTTTCAAATTTAGGGTCAAATTACAATTTTAAATAAAATATACAAAATCATTAAACGCTTTAATAATTATAAACATTATATCAAGAAAAATGCCTGCATTTAAAATTTTGGTAGTAAAAGTAAGAATTTTTTTTTATGTTTTTAAAAATAAGTTTCCAGTTCTCACCAAGGCTGCATTTATTTGATCAAAAATACAACAAAAACAGTAACACTGTGAAATATTATTACAATTTAAAACAATTGGTTTTTTAGTTAATATATTTTAAAATTAAAAAAAAATTCAAAGCTGAACTTTCAGCAGTCATTACTCACATGATCCTTCAGAAATTATTCTAATTCATTCATTAATATTCTAATTGACATTCCATTTCTTATTATTATCAATGATGAAAACAGTTGTGCTGGTTAAATGTTTTGTGGAAATTAATGCATTTTTTTTTCAGGGTTCTTTGATGAATAAAAATGTCAAAAGAACAGCATTTTTAATTATTTTTGTAAAAATGCAAAAGTCGCATTCACAATTTAAAAGTCACATTTGATCAATTTAATGCATCTTTACTGAATAAAATAATTAATTTGTGGGAGAAAAGTGTATGGGGAAGAATATGACCATATTTTTAATGCAATACATAACAGTTAAAGTGTGTAACATAACTAGTTTTGATATACACAATCCCATTTGTCCACACATGGCAATAGTACTGCTTTGAAAGGTTACAAACTGGATGAGATAACACAGTTGCCCATGGACAACTCAAATTAAGAACAACAAAGTATTAAAAAACAAGTCCAGCGAAATCAGCAGTCCTCTTTTATCTTTTCTGGACCACAAGACTACACCAAACCATTTTAACCAACCAATCAGCCAACTACAGCTAACTCATTTGTGACAGTGTAACCCTGAATGTTCGACTAAGTTCAGTTGAGTTCATTGGCCCCCCCAGTTATGGTGCTCTTGATGATGAGCCTTTATGTGTGTGTGTGTGTGTGTCAGGATAGCAAGTGACAGCGAACAGCGTGCTCCCAAAGCCCCTCCTCTCACTCCACCCATCCATCCGTCACAGCCATGATCTTTAGCTTCATTAGCATGAGAATGGGGAATGATGAGATATCTTGCATCGAATGCCAGCCGCCCAGGAGACGGCAGCGAAGTGCTGCCCGCCCCTGATACACGCACATAGAGAGAGTGCCACAAGACTCATTTTAAAGAAATAGTTGCAACTGGTTTGGACTCTGTCGTCTTAAGTCACCGCAAGTAGTTCAAAGAGTGGCCCTACTAACTTTCACTTCTGTTAGAGGATCTTCTGACTTTTTGATGTATGCAAAGAAGATAGTAGATGTTTATAAAATGATAAGAAATGTTCAAAGAGGCAAACACTTCTTGCTTCTGATGCTAAATGTATAGTTTTTAATATATACAGTACTATATATATATAAAAAAAAAAAAAAAATATATATATATATATATATAT